GAGCTCCTACAATAGAGGTTAATGCTACATAAGTTAGGCCACGACTTTTATTAAAAAAAAAAACTAAATTAAAAAAAGTCAGGCTTCAGGCCATTCAAAAATATTGAAAGAAAAAAGGCCATTCAAAATGTTTTTAGCACCGAATAGACTAGCCTTTTCAAATAAATATAAATAGTATAAATTAAAATTTGATTATAATAATAAAGTTATATAGTTGTTAGTCTAAGTATAACCCCATTTCAAAATATTTTGTAATCTTATTTAATAAGTTATTATAAAATAGGATTTTTTTTTATTTTTTTATTTTGTCAATGTAAAATAGGCTTTTAAATAAGCTTATAATCATATTAGGATGTTAAAAAGGCCAAGATAAGCGCTAAATCAAGCTTATATAAGGTAAATACGCTAGACTCGAGTCTTTGATTTGGGAGCAAGCCTGATCCAAACTTTGTAAAACCTAGCCCATCCTAGTTCAATTTCACCCCTACTCATTATCATCTAAAAGTGACCTAAAAGAAAACTATCATATAAAAGTAATACTGTTCAATTTTATCTAAAATTGCAAAGAAAACAAAGAAACTTGTGTAAAGCTGTCTTTTTATCTATCAACCCTACATGAGCCGCATTTTAAATTTCTCCCCTAGAAATCATTTCTTCTTTCCATGGCTTCTGAACGACCATCACCAAGAAACAAATTATATATTTTATTTCTTTTAAATATGGTTGAAGCACCATATTTAAACTAAAATTGAAAGGGAAGAAATAAAATACTTTGAAATGATAAAAATTGAGAAATTTGTATGAGTTGATGTGGTGGTGGGGGGGGGGGGGGTGTTTAACTGCAAAATGCCTTGCCCTCTTAAAAATTTTAAAATTTTCTTAATCTCAAACCAAACACAGCTAGTAATTACATTTGTGAAGTTCCATGCTATTACATTTAAATAAAGATAAGAAAAGACGAAGCATTATATTTATGGCTCTTGCTGATTATGCAACTCATGACTGCACAGTCTCTTCTGCTGATTCCTATATCTAGGGTTTTTTTAATTCCGTTTATTTTATTTTATTTTATTTTTTGCTTCCAAGTTTATTCATCATTTTACATTATTATAATTTATAAATCTTATACTTTATTTGTGATATTGATTTTTTATTTTCACATTGTTCTAAGTCCTAAGATCGTCAGGCTGAGAACTTTCATTTCATACACATAATCACAACTTAAAATTTTTGGTAGTTGTTTGCCGTAATTTTATCATAACCATCATTACATTCCTGCTACTCTGCAAATATGGCTATTAATTATATTATGCAATGTAAATGCTTACAATAAAGGCAAATGGCTGGGGATTTTACTGCCCAGATGATAATACATTACTTTCACAACAAAAGCAAGAGAACAAAATAAAGGCAATTGTGTTATACTGTCTTTTCATTATACAAGTACATACACTAGTACGTTTTAGTAATTATATAAGTACATACACTAGTACGTTTTAGTAATCAATCATGATGATTATGAATTTATTTTGATTAATATATAGATATTGCCCAACAGCTATATTTTTTGCCAAAAGAAATATTTGATCCTCAGCCTCCCAAAGAAAAAACCTTGGCTCACCGACCTTGACGCCCAAAACTGCATCTTTTTTTTTCCTAGCGGCCAACTACACCTGTTGAGACGGTGAGACCACCATTATGCAGCTCAACAAATGCTCTACTACGAAGACGTAAGAAACATGATTTCTCTCCCCCACTTTTCTAATCCCACTCTAATGGGCAGCGTTCCAATAACATAATGTATTTCTATTTATAAAACGTGCAGAAGTTTTTCTCCGAATTTTTAAAGTCCAAATTAAAACCTCTGTCGTTTTATATCTTTTAAAATCATAACTTTCCAAGTGCTCCTAAGAACTTGAATTTATTTGTTAATTACCATCAATTATTTCTTTCCAAAGTATTTAATCCCCAATCGAAATGTTTTATTCCGATTACAAGCTAACTTAACTCTCATTTATCTCGGTTTGGATTGCAAGTATTGTTGTTCCTAAATTGAGCTCAAAATCACCTGATGTGACCACCAGGCCACTATTCCGCCAAGGCTCACCCTCTCAAAATGAGTGCACAACGGCCCGAAGTTACCTATCCTACTAGATCATAAAATTTGTATCATCGTGAAAAATAAAATTACTATGGCACATTCTACCACAGAAGGAAAAAAATCAACAAGAAATATTATCCATTCAATAAATAACTTAAAACAGTCAGCCTAAGGGGCAGATTGAAAATCACGAACCTGATAAAAACACAACGACAGGGTAGAGATTGAAGCCCAAAATCGCCAATCAAGAAGTCTATCTCACCGCTTCAATGAGCGCCCCCAACATTGTGATAGACGGAATAATCTTTAACTAGGAAGAAGCGATTCTAGGAAATGATACAAACAAAAAAAAAAAAGAAAAAACCCAACAACCTCTAAATTAGAAGTAAGGAATTTTAAATTACTGCCACTATCACCACTACACACTATCTGAATCTAAATACAGATTACAGGTTACTTAATCAAAGCTAGTGTACCATAGTGGAATATTCTTAGATATACACTACCAAAATGAATACATCCTTTCCTTCTGTCAGAAAAAGTTACCATACACTTATTTAATCCTATACTCTCTCACAACATCAACAATGGAAATGGACTTTGAAGCTACAACATTTAATAAGTTTTAAATTTTAAACGAACATGATTCTTCTCTTCCTTTCAAGTATATCAATTGATAAATTTTTTTACACCCTTAATTTATTATAAAGTTATGTTAACTAAGCACCCACCTATTTCCCATGCAAGCTATTAGCTTAGTAATTTAAAATGATGGACATCTAAAGAATAACATTAATATTTAATATACGTAACTATTTTTATTGGTTTTGATGAATTAGTTGTGCGAGAAATAATGTCAAAACTAAGGTCATAAGGTCATTTCTAATTCGTCCATCAATGAAAGTGAAATTTTGCTTCATAGAAAATATGGCCAAGTTTGAATAAATTATCAAACAATTAGCTTTGGTCATTTTCTCTACTGACTGAAAACAATGAAACTCCAATCTATTGGATCAACAACATTACCTCTCCAACTACACATGAATCCTAGGAATTGCCTGGATAATGATGAAAATATAGGTCTAAGCAATTCTCCAAACATTCCTTATAGATTGAACTGAAGTACTAAAATATGTCGCCAAAAATTTTACAACTCTGTTGAAATTAAGGAACAAAAGATGAATGATGATATGCCACAGCATAATCGTCCCTTATTAGAAACCCAGAACCCAATCACGGTAGTGAAAGGTGAAAGCTAGTGAACCCCAAATTGCTTTCAGGCAAGGAGCCAAAAAACCGCTCCAGATTTGGGGAGAAAGGGAATTAGCATAAACAATTAAAAGAATACAATTTGATTTAATTACATAAAAATCAAAATAAAATAAAATAGTAATCATTCAAGATGAAGTGTTATACAAGGTTATCACTAGTTTCAGTTTGGAAATCAGAAGTGGCAGCCCAAAAATTTACAGCGGAGCAATGAACGTATCATTATAGTTTTCTAAGTCTTTTCTGTTAATGATGCACAATCTATTTTATTAGCGGCTTATTTCTTGATTCATTTATTCAATAATAAACCGTGTCTTCCCTTCTCAACATTAATTTACGCAATGAACACATTAGCCTTTTTCTTTGTAAACTAAATAATTTAATCAAGAGCTATGGCTAAGGACGTCAATAAGATTCAAACATAGGAAAATAGGTAAGGAATGGAGTAACTAATGCTGATTTCACCGGAATAATTTCAGCAAGTCTACATCATTTTTATATATTTTTTAAAATGAAAAAATAAGGAAGCCTAAGCAATCTTCAACTTAGTAAAATAGGCAAGAAATGGTCGTAACTAATGCTGATCTCACCGGAGTAATTTAGAAAGGTAATTTCAGCAAGTCTACATCATTTTTTTTAATGCAAAAATAAGGAAGCCTACGCAATCTTCAACTTGTGCCACAAACAAAACTGACCAGGTCAGTTGCAATCCAATTTTTTTTTCCATACTAAGAATAATTGGAATCACCAAACAGATAAACTCCTGCACATTTCAAGTGCTTAAGCCAAGATTCAGGCTGTTCCCTAATATATGGAATCTGGATCAACAGAAACACAATACCTTAGAAGTTTGCCAGCGCAGCAAAGGGAACTCCAATGAAAAGGGCATTTCCTGAAACATTCAGGCAAGCACCCTTCTGTCAGCTTGGCTTATAGCACCTTAAGTGCACCCTTGACATCATTGAACCCAAAAAGTAATTACTTACAGCACTTGGGATGTGGTTTAAAGGAAATACAATTTTGCAGACAAAAAGTTTTTCTATGTTTCTAAATCTAGAAATTGAATGTATACTGACTCTTAAATAATAATATATTAAATAATTAAAAGAAAACTCCTAAAGTATATAGTGGGTAAGAGGTATGGCTTTGTGGTTAATTTGTAATGACATTTTTGTCCCCTCTTTATAGAGACAGTATGAACAAAACAATGAAACATTGGGCTTTTAGGAAAATATGCAAGATACTAAACGGGGAGATCTCATTCCTAAAATATATTAAGATACGCTATAGACAAAAGGCCGAAAAATCAGAAATTCCAGTGTTTATCGAGAAACAACAAGCAGGAAAAGGACATAGACAACCTGGACTACAATATTGAATTACCATCTATATATGTCATCAATAGGCGGCTTCTAAAGTCAAAACCAGGGCTACTGATAGCACACTATACTGCTGTAGCAGCAATTGGCAGGGGAATGAGAATTGGTCAGAACTAAAGGAAAAAAACCTAATCCTCCCCCAAAAAAATCAGCTACGATTACATCTACAAGGGAGCCAAACACACAGCTATTTGTAATTATGATTATTTCATGAATTTTGCATTTTAGCATTATATATGTAATTATGGATATAATCTAGATTATATGTCTGTATAAAAAGTTCCAAAATAGCAGTCATCCCACTATACACTATCCCACAATAATTTGTTTTTAGGGTCAGCCACTATCTGCCACTGTCCAGGATCGATAACTATGGTGAAAAGATTGTTATCCATAGAAATTGTACTTATCATCAATAGCATGTAAACAACATATGCAAAATGAAACGATAGAAACTGCCAGCAAAGCACCAAGGTTGAGACAACTACTCCAGTTATGAATTATGGATTTCAAATTCAAAAGCCATTAAACTTAACTGCCACAGTACTTCACTTCCAAAAAACATCTCCACTAACATGAAGGCAGCAACCTGAAATGACATGAGTAACATAAATGACTTTGAAAATAGGAAAAGGACATCAAATGGTAAGCATTGCAAAATGCAATAATACCACGGTAACATCTTTTGATGAATTGCATTAGAGCATACCAGATTACAGCAAACTGCAACCAGTCAATGCTTACTCCCACGACCCTCAAAACCAGTATTCCATGTCTTGTTTCCCTCATCAACTGAGTGTTGTTCACTAGCTATTCTATAAAATAAAAGAAATGTGCATTGTGAAATAATAGAGGGTTTATCTTCAAAATGAAAATTAAATTTTTTTCAAGATATATGAAAAAGCATTAACAACAGCAAAATAAAAACCTACAATTTCTGTTTCTTTGCATTTTGTTTGATTGTTTTAACTATATCCATGGCCATCTTCTGGTGCTCTCTTGTTTGAGAATGCAAGTCCAAACCTTCAACTGTACCACAGTCAAGTTTACATATCCGGCACCATCCCATGCTAGATGCTTTCCTTCTCCTCAAATTATCAAATGACCTGATATCTCCCTGAAAAAACACAAAAGTAACATACACAAAAGAAATATTTAAAATCAAATATTACTTGGATATTGTAGTCAATTTACAAGGGGGAAAAAACACTATATTCCCCCCAAAACTTCCACATTCCACCAACTCAACTTCAAAAATTTTTCAACTACTGCCCATATGATAAGAATAGCAAGTACAAAGATGAATATTAGGGTAATCAAAACTTAACTGTTAAAAACCCAGCATCATTGGGAAATCCTGAGAGCGAAAAGCTGCTCCTGAACCCAGGCTCACCAAGTTGTGGATGACCTGGCCTGTTGCCTTTGCTGAAAGATTCATAAGTCCGAGAACTGCCAAGTTCAACTGCTCTCATATGACCTGGATGGGCACCAAAACCAACAGCCTCCCCAAGCTGCAAATGTCTAGAAAAATTATGTGGACCCAAATGTTCACCCCTACGAAAATGGCCACCAAATTCGCCATGACCAATGAAATCACCACTCCTTGGATGTTCACCCATTCGAAAGCTACCAAAACCATCAAATTCATCTCTATGCAAATGGCTAGGCAAATGAGGAAACCGGCTATCACGAAACTCACCAAAACGACGTGCAACTCTGCCATCAAAATCATCTATTCCTGACTTACCAACAAGACCACCAGAGTGGGGGCCCAATCTCCGGGAAGACATTTCAGAATATTCATTAACAGGACTTCTTGGAGCCATACCATCCATATGATGTCTCCCATATCCAGGATCTGGTCCAAGATAACCAGGATGGAGAGTAGGACCTGATTTCTTAATGACATCATCATGATAACCAACGGGTCTCTTTCCAGCTTCATGTGGACCTAATGAATAATTTCCAAATTTAGAAACTGGCTCAGCATCCAAAGGCAGTCTAGGGAATTTCTTAAGATCATCCTCAAACTCTCTTCGATCAATGTTTTGTTGATTTGGAGCATGGAAAGGTTTGAACCTTTCATCCTGCAAACCAAAACCTTCAGGAGCATGAGGTGGTAAGTTGGCTGTCACTCTACCATGCATATCTCCAGGAAGTGGAGCACCAAATTGAGGCCCTCCTATATGAGACAAATTGGATGCTCCAGAATGGAAAGGAGGCTCATGGACTTGGTTATATGGCCCTGAGGGTCCATGTGACTGAGGTTGAAAGCTTCGCCCTGGTGTATTGAACTGGATGTCAGAATCTTGCAGCTGCTTAAACATGGTTGGCTGAAAATTCTCTGTTAAGGGTTGTCCCGAATGAAAAGCATGGGCAGGTCCATGATTCCTAACAAGGGTTGAAGAGTTCCCTTCAGAGAGGGGCTGATTTGGAACTGCTGAATGTGGCAATTGTCTCTTCTGGACAGAAGCAGGCCCAAAATTAATCATTGGTTGTTGATGCTTAGTCTGATCAGTATAAGTGGCATGATGAGACAGCTGTGCAAAACCCTCATTGCTTTGAGAGACAGATGGTGTTGGAGTGCCAGCACCAGGATGAGGTCTTGGAGTACATGTATCATCTTTATGCAATTTATCAATTTCGGACTCAGGGACTTTTGCTTCTGTCTTTGGTAGAGGTCCATCTTGAAATTCATTGCCTCGGACAGAGTGTTCATCATTACCATTTTGAACCCCAGTCACCACACCACCTGACTTATTACCACTTGAAGGCTTCCAATTGCTTTCAGTAGCCTCTCCTATACCATGATTCTTATTTACTGAATCACCATTTTCTAATGCATTGGCACTTGGGAGTAAAGTCTTCACAGAGTGTGGATCTTCACTATGTTGCTTATTCCCAACCTCAATTGGTTTAAAATCTGTTTCAACTTTATCAGATTTCAATTCACTTGCTGATCCAGACACTGTGTCCAAATCTTTAAAGTTCTTACTATGTTTCCCAGAGGAAGAGTCAGTTTTCTGCTCATTCACGTTGTGTCTTTCAATTGGTTCTGATGGTCTAGACTGCAGTTCAGAAGGCAACTGTACTTGATTGTTGGCCCCAATCAACAAATTCTGATTTTCAGGCAGGAAGCCAGCACCATTTTGCCCATGTCTAACTGGAATTGTATTAGCAGATTGTGCATATGGCTGTATGTGTCCTGCATGATTAGGAAGTAAAGGCCTTCCCACAGCATTTTGAGATTGACTGAGATGACTGCTATTTGATAGTGCAGTATTACCCTGTGACTGCGGATAAGCATGCTTGGGAAATGAATTAGCTGAACCCTGGGGTCGTAAATGAGATGGCATAGGTGCTTGGTGTTGTGAAAAGGGCTGTGGAGGTATTTGTTGAATGGGTTGCAAAAAAGGACGTTGGTTGATTTGGCCAGGTTGTTGATTATGAGTATATACTGGCTGATGTTGCATAGGAGGGGTAGTTTGGCCCCGAACAGGTGAAGGCACCAAAGCTGGCTGTTGCTGATTAGGAAACATAGCATGAGATTGATTAGGACGCATCATTGGAATTTGGGGAGGAAACTGACTCTGTGTTTGGACAGGATGCTGGCCCTGGGGTTGGGGCCCAGCTTGAGGATGCATGTGCATAGCATGTTGAGGGACACCTGGTTGCGTATTATGGTGAGGAAGAGGTTGGGGATAAGACTGATGACCTGTAACTGCATGTGACGTTGCATTTTGCACTTGAGGTTGGACATTAGGAGCAACAGGCTGGTGAGGATGCATGGGAGGCTGGTGAGGATGCAGTTGCGGATGAACTTGAGATTGAGGAACAGGATACTTCTGAACAGGTTGTTGAATTTGAGGCTGTGAATGTTGCATCTGAGGAAGAGGCTGCTGATAAGGAGGCATTTGCATATGTTGTTGGGGTTGAGGTTGGACAGAATGAGGCTGAACTTGGGGGTAAGGATAAGGCTGAGGCTGAGGCTGAGGTAGGGATTGACTGGGGACTGGTGGATGACTCGTCTGACCATGTGGCTGAACAAAAGGTTGAAATTGCTGCGGTTGTTGGTGAACTTGAACCTGATTCTGAGATGGTGGGGCTACAGGAGCCTGAACATGTGAAAGTGGTTGAGACAGTCCATGTACCTGAGGTTGTGGTTGTTGAGGCTGAGATTGGTTTTGGGCCTGTGGCTGGGGCTGAGGTTGAAGTTGGGCCAGGGGCTGAGGTTGAAGTTGAGCCTGGGGCTGTGATTGAGACTGATGTTGCGGCTGACCATAGGCCTGCTGGTATTGTGGAACAGCAGATTGTTGATAGGGGTAGTAATTTTGATACTGTTGTTGGTATGGATCTTGTCCAGGGTATTGCTGGTAGTATTGTTGATATTGTTGTTGCTGATACCATTGCTCGGCTGTTGGCTGCACAACTGTTTGAACTACGGCTTGGGATTGAGAAGCTGGATTGGTAAGCTGATTTGAAGCATGTGCAGGTGCAGTAGTTGTGACAGCAGTTTGAGAAGGAAGAGCTTGTGAAGCAGTTGTTCCAACAGGAGCAGCAGCCTGGGTCTGATCTGTAGAAGCAACAGCACTAGTGGCTGAAGGATCCTGGGTAATGGCCACTTGTTGTACCTGGCCTTGCACACCCTGCCAATCAACTAACATGAGAAAATGCCTGCCAGAAACAGATGGAAGGAACTAATATATTATATATGGGACGTACAGGGCAATTTTGTGCATGTTCTTGCACTTGGCGATGCACTATTTGGATCCCACACCTGTTGCAAACAACAGGAGAATTGCCATAAGCGCAGCCAGAACAATGAGATGTACACTCAGACAGAGTTCCTTGCCATGTGCATCCGCTCCTATGATAAAGGCAATGAACTGGTATTTTTCCAATAGTTTCGGCAAGTGCCTTATTCGACTCAATCAGAGGCTGCAATTAGGGCAGACAAATTAAAATTCATATATAAATAGGAAAAAATGTATGACCTAGGAGCATTTGGGAATAAGTAGGAAAAGAACCTTGGAATCTGCCTCAGTGACCAAGTAACCATCATATGGGCAAGCCCTTGTAGTGCTCACAACATATGTCAAACACGGCTTACAGTACAAGTGGGTACATTGCGACTGCAAAGCTTCATTTGGAAATACGAGCAGGCGACAGACAGGACAAAAGTACTCTCCAGCAAGAGATTGAATGTTAACTATGCACTCATTATCAAATCCCATGCTGACCTATAAATGCGCGGCTTCGGCTCAGAGCCGAGCATAAAACCTAGACACAATTAATTCAACCAATTACACAGTCTATTATAAAATTATTTCTTCCAGCTCACTCTCCCATAATTCAAACAACAACGGAAAGATGGAAATGGGGCTGGAAATAGGTTTGCACACATTAAAATGAGCGTTATTACAGGAAGCGGGCATTCGATATGGGACATAAATACGATACGACATGGACACAGGAATACGACAAATTTTGAAAATCATAGGATACATCACAGTAATATACCATGCAAAATTAATAAAATAAAATAAACGTATAATAAACATTTTAAATCACAATAGAGAAATCATGTTTTAAAAATGAGCACAAGTCATTGTGGAGATAAAAGAATGCTAAAATTTATCCAATTATTATTTTGATCAATACAAATATAAAATTTATAAACCAAGTAAAAATTACACTCACAAACACACACACACACACACACACAACATCTAAAAGTACTAAAAGGGCAATGCGGTGTCCTGATACCTATCCAGCACGGTTATGACACAACACGGCTACTGTTTTATTTAAAGTCAGTGCTTATTAGGTAGTTAGGCTTCACAAAGGAAGAAAAACACAAGTTTGACATTTGGATAAACATGTAAAAAAAAAAAAAAAAAGGAAATTCGGAAATGAACCAAAGGTCGGCACAAAACATCGCATGTCAACAAAAACACGGAAACTAATCTAATAAGCGTGTGTGAGTGTTGAATCTATCGAACCATTATGAATGCATGCAAGATATAAAAACAGATTCGGGTGCAATGCGGCAAAGTCATGAGAATTCAGCTCTTGACAACATTAATTAAATAAATAAATAAAACCTAGAAGCATTCGGCAACGATTCAGCACCTGAATTATTCCTAACGGTTCCGGATTCGATTCGAAAGCCAAAACCCTGACCGAGCTAAAACCTGCTTCGGAAACCAAAAAATAAATACATACAAAAGGGTTAGGAGATCGCGATATGTGATAGATGAGAGCAAAAACAAGAAGCAAAGGATATGAAAAGTACCTTGAAGATGCAAGGATTGGAGAGGCCAGGCAGACAAAGATTGCGTTTGGAAGAAGGGAGGGAGCGATGTGAGCGGAACAAACGAAGTGTAAATGGAAATGTGTGATGGTTCTTTATATACTGTCATCAAGTATACGAATGAAGTAGGCATAGGCTAGTGGCATCACCCGAACTGTGCCACACTAAGAAACGACGGCGTTTGTATATTTAGGTTGTATTTAGTTTAAGCGAAAATGAGCTTGGGAAAAAATGTTTATTAGTTGAAGAAATTAAAAAAAGTGCATGAGACAGCCAAAATTCAAAATATTTGTTTTCTTGGATGGAGAAATTTAAAATTTTATCAAATGCATACATATCAATTATCATATTTTAAAAATATAAAAAAAATTTAATATATTTTATATGTTTTACTTATTTATTTAGTCAAATAAAATATAAAATTAATTTAATTTTATGTTAAAAAGTTATGTATAATCTAATTTAAGTAGACTTTTAGAAAACCTGTCGCAACATAAAAAATAGTATCAAATAAATAAATAAGATATTTATTAGAAATAATTTTTTTCTTACAATTATTTTTAAAAAAAATTTACTCAAATTGAGTCAATTTTTTTTGTAAAGTATAAATATGATTAATAGATAAATAAATAAATAATTTTTAAAAAAAATTTCTTCTTTTTCGTAAAAAATTATTAAAAGTATTTTTTTTTATTTCTAATTCAAAATCATTATTGCTTTTTATTTTTTATAGCTATTAAAATTACAACGTCATTTTTTCATTAATGTTAACGTCAGTGCTATTAATTTCATACTAAAAAAGAAAATGCATACTTCATGTAAAAAAAATACAAACAAAAATTTGACACACTTCATATTTAATTTAGACAAAACGAAAGGAATGGCACATATATGAATATAGTGTAATTAATGCGAAAACTAAACATCTATGTTGCAAACTGATATGAGGGGGAAGGATTGGGAAACTGAGAGTATACGAGAGAGGAGAGTTTGAAAATGAAGGAGAATCATAATCGCCTAAGTGAGGGTAAATTCGTTTAAACAAGAATAAAACTATATGTCCAGTTCTCGCGTTAACTACAGAATGACACATAAGTGTGTGAAAATCATGTATGTCTAAATATTAAAAGTGCACCCACCCTTCATGTATTAGTGAATGTGTGAGAGGGTTTAACTAAAACTAAAATTAGAAAAGAAAAAGAAAAATTAAAAAAGATTAAATGATTTAATTACTAAATGAATCAATTATGAGAAGTATGTTTCATATTACTTTCTACTACTTGGATCTAGAACCTACATGTTAATGCTCATGATTTTGATAGTCATATTAGTGATTTGGAGGAGATTTTCTATGCTCATTCAACTCTCCATTATCTTTCTTTAACTGAGTGGCATGCATTTTTACAATACTCATTTTTTGCAAGTATGGGAGTGCCCAAGTGGTTTGGCTAACAGTGAGCCAAAAAAATTCTAACCAAAGTTCTTAAGGTATTAATTAACAAATATAAATTATTATTAATCCACACTCATTATAAATTTCAATGGTTTCCTAATATAAACTTCAATAAAAACTTTATAAATTTTTATTATTTAATCAAATTCTTTGAAAGCAAAATGTTATTTAGGTAGCTTAAAGAGTAGCATAATAATATAAGATTTTATTATATTTACATATGTATAATTAATCTATTTAATAAGATTTTTAGGTGTTTTTGCCTTACCATATACAAAATTTTCCATGCTAACAACAACTATGAACCATAAGCATAAACTAGTCCTAAGCCATTTGGCTTTAGTGATACTTACTTTAAAAAAATATTATTAATGTACACTCACAATGATTTTAAATGCTTTCCTAAAGTGAAATTTGGTTAAAGCTTTTTATTTTCTATTTTTTAATCAAATTTTCTAATTGTGCTTGAGGACACATAATACAAAATTAATTTTTTATTAAAAATTACAGTATTTTAAATTGTTGATGCATTGAATCATGCGATATCATGTTATTTTTTAATAAAAGAATTGCTGCATATAAATTTTATTGTGTATCCATGGACATATTGCAAAAATCGTTCTTTAACTCTTAAAGCACTAATTTGGTGTTTATTTTATTTTTTTGCATAAATGGTTATCATGTAATATTTGAAAAATCAATAGATTTACATATTATATTCAGATCAATACATTCTCTTCACACTCTATAGTGTAATGTCTATCATGTTAGTATGCATTCAGGTCATCAGTGAAGAACCAAACATGTCATAAACAACTTGCTTTTTCAATAATATAATGTTTTGTCATTAATAAAATTGAATATTTTTTCTTAATCTTTAGCGTTAAAAGAGGAAGATTTAGATACTTTACTAATACGCAATGCATGGATGGAATATGTAGAAACACAATTATCTTGTTTAATTGAAGATACAATTTTTTACTAATTCGTCTTTCACAAGTGATATATTAAAATACAGACTTGGTTTATATTATTTATATTCGTTTATAAAATAATGATTGAACTAAAAAATTATACTTTAGTTCTTCTAAAAATATATTCTGTTACACACATTGACATTAAAAATATGTTAATATGAACATTTTTTTTAACAATGTTAAACTGTAAGGACCAAATTATAATAAAGTCATTGTATGGCAAGTATAATGTAAGTTTTTTGGTGCATTAATTAATTTATAAATAATTATTAAATATAGAGATTAGTTTATGTGACATTAAGAAATTTTGAGATTTTTTTTTAATTTGTTTGAGTGTGTAAGAGCAATCATGAACAAAAACTTAAAATTCACATCTAACTTAAAACCTTAACACATTAGGTTATTTGAGTTATTGTTATCTATATATTGCTTAATTTTTTCATTTATAATAGAACTTACAAAAAGTTTAATTGTTGATCCAAACTCTATTTTTATTTCATGTGAGTTTTATAGGTTAAAAAACTTAAAAGTCTTATAAATAAAAAGTTTTATGAGCTAAAAGACTCCCGAGCTATAGTTGGGGTTACATTTTTATGGGCCAAATAAAATTATTAAGCTACTTACACAACAAAAAATTATTTAATTTATAAAAATTTATATGTCATTTTTCACTTTAACAATGTGATTTTCATATCAAATAAAAATTAAATTAAATTAAAATTTTAAAAAAATTATTATTTTAATTTATTCATATATAATCAAATAAAAGTCTCGTTGTAATAATAAAAAGATCATCTATTAATTTTTTTCCTTCAATACACAAAGCTTTATTGTTGTTGGTGATACTTTTTATTTACTATTCTATAAAATTTATATTTATAATTCTTAATGAGATTAAAAAATACATTTATAATTCATTCAAAACTCATTAAAATGTTTTTTTTATAAGTTTTTATTTTTTGTATGCATTATAAATAAAATTATTTTACATCTCATTTAGTATCAATGCATGCATCTTGAATAAAATGATTATTTTTTATTAATTACTATAATAAAATAAATTAATTTTGTTAAATTATTTATATTCAAAATTCTAAAGTTATTGGTAGTCAGGTAGTCAAAAGTTATTCTTAAAATAATATTAAATTTATTATAATGATTAAATAGTAATATTTATTTTTAATAATAATTAAAGACATTAGTAAAAAATTTATTTTATATATTTTAGAGTAATCAATAATTTGAAATAAACGTAAAGTATTTAATATAAAATGAAATAAGTAGACTTATCGAATCTATTTTTTCATCATGTAGCATAAATATGTAATTAATTAATTTTTTTGAATAGTTTAAATTTAATATTTTTTTGTTTTATCATAAAATTATCATATTTTAAGCCTTAATTAAGTTACTTATGATGATACTGTTGGTCCAGGGTAATACATCGAACAGTAATTAGATAAAAAAAATAATTTAAAAATGATAATATGTATTTTTTATAATTTTTGAAATTTCTATAGGTAAGTGTATATGTAGATTTATAGACACACTTTATAAGATATTTATTACTCTTTCAAAATTTACATCTTAATTTATATATTTAATGGTAATTTTTTCAAAGCAATTAACAAGAAAACCAATAAAAATAAAAACAAATGTGTTTTGAGAGGAATAATTTTGCATATGTGTATTTTTTTATACACTAGAAAAGTAAATATTTAAAAATACATTAAAAATTTAATAATTATGACTACAAAATTCAACTATTAATATTAAAATAAACATAAATTTATACGTAAATTCAATTTGATATAAAATTTTTATTGCTATTAATTTTTAAGATTAATTATAAATATTTAATAATGATATTTTTTTAAATATTAGTTTTATATGTTTAAAATTAATACGACGTTCATAATTTTATTAATAAATAATAACATATTTTTAATGTATTTAATTTATTTTTTAATTGTAATGACGCTATACAGAAACCGAAAAATGAAAGATGAAAAACAAAATTAATAAATATACATAAGTAACAAATGCAAATCTAGATGAGGATTTATGTTTAAGATTTTAGAATGATAAAATCTGGGTATGATTTTTTAGTGTTTTTCAAGATACATACTAACTCATGATATCCTCTTCCTTACCCACATATTTTGAGTTAATCAATTTAAGACCTAATTATATTTTTTAAAATAATATAAATGCAAATTTAGATAAATTATGTCAGTTGGTATGTTGGAAAATAAACTTGACCACTTTGATTTGTTAGAAGGTGCTGGAGGTAATTAGTTTTGCCTTAAAAAGTCAAAAATTGCAACTTATTTTCGATGAATGAGTTGTATTTTATTAGTTTCTAGTATTAAAGTAATTTGGTAATTATTACTTTGAATAGTCAAATTTACTGGTTGCA